GCTGCGCCACCCAGAGATCCCCTGACAAAGAATCTTAAGCAAGTGTGGTCCTGGTATGTAAAAAGGTAAATAACAAAATCAAATCATGAGACAAAAAGTCAAAACTGCAATTAAAATCATTTGCATTTGACTTGCAATCAACTCATTAGAAATCTTACACATGAATGACAGATGTCACCAAATAAGTCTGTCTTACATTCGAAACTGGGCACAGGGGAGCCCTGGTGGCGCAGCGGTTTAGTGCCGCCTACAGCCCAGGTGTGAATGGAGCCTGCTTCTCCCTCTGCCTGTGTCTCTGCCTCTCTCTCTCTCTCTGAATGAATAAATAAATGAATCTTAAAAGAAAGAAAGAAAAGAAAGAAAGAAACTGGGCACAATCTGTTTGAGAGTTAGCTATTTAAAAAAAAAATTCACGAATTAACCCAAGACACAGAACAGAGGAACAAGAAGTTTTAAAAGCACAGAAAAAAGAAAAAAATAATAAAAATAAAAGCACAGAAAAGAGGCAGGTCTGGCTCACTCAGTGAAGCATGTGACTCCTGCTCTCTGGGTTGTGAGTTCGAGCCCCACATTGGGTGTAGAGATCACTTAAAAATAAAATCTCTAAGATAAATAAGTAATTAAGGTGTGAAAAAGGAGGCTAAATGATGTGGAGGATAGAATTAGAAGCTCTGATTACCTCTAACAGGAATTTTTTTTAAGACAATAGAAAATGGCACAGAAACTGTATATACATAGAGTTAATTCTTAAAATTTTGCCCTGGAGCTTTACCCGTATACCTTTTATTTCACTTTTTAAAAAAACAGAAGCAAATAGGGCAAAATGTGTTAATATTTAAAGAATTGAACAGTAGTTGTACTTTTTTTATTCATAGAGACACAGCTAGAGAGAGAGGCAGAGACACAGAGGGAGAAGCAGGCACCATGCAGGGAGCCCAATGTGGGACTCGATCCAGGGTCTCCAGGGTCATGCCCTGGGCTGTAGACAGCGCTAAACCGCTGCACCACCGGGGCTGCCCAGTAGTTATGCTTTTAAAAAGTATTCTTTTTAAAATATTTTTTATTTATTTTTAAAGATTTTATTTATTTATTCATGAGAGACACAAAGAGAAAGAGAGGCAGAGACACAAGCAGGCTCCATTCAGGAGCCTGATGTGGGACTCAATCCCAGGACTCCAGGAGCCCTGGACCCAAGGCAGGTGCTAAACCACTGAGCCACCCAAGGATCCCCTAAAAAGTATTCTTGATATCTGAAATATTTCATAATTTTTTTGTGGCAAGATACACTTTTTTTGTGTGTGGTAAGGTACACTTAACCTACAATTTACCATTTTAACCATTTTGATGTGTACAATGCAAGGGTTTGTAGTGTATCATGCAGTTGTGCATCAATCACCATGACTCTTCCAGACCCTTCTGAGTCTACTCATTCCTGAAAGAGACTTATTGGTTGATGATGAGAATTCACATCTTGGAACTTCTTCAGGGGATATTCCGTTCTCAGAAATAAATGAGACTAACATCGGTTCCTCCTGAACATTATAATATCCTAACCATCTGCCCTGACCTTTGGATCACAAGCCAATTCTAACCCTTCCTAGTCTTGGGAAAAATTCAGCCCTAGCAAGAACAGTTGACAGCTCCTCATGGCAGCTCGAGAAGAACTGGGATAAACAACAGAGATTTTGTTCACTAACTTGAACGGGCAGCTGATAGTTGCCTAGCCGATAGAACAGATAGTTTTTGTTTTGTTTTGTTTGTGAATAATGTGAATCCCGATGCTATGCTGGCCCATCAAATATTCCTGAAAGGCCAAATATCTTCTGGCATAATGTGCAAGTAGGAATTTAAAGACGTGGGGGGGGGGCAGGGACGCTGTATTGGGTCTATCAGGCATATCCCACCTAGGCACTGATTCCAGAAAAATCTCCCTTCACTAGGTCATGAGAAATAAAGTACTCTGGGGGTACTTTATTTATTTTAGAGAGAGAGAGAGAGACAGAACGGGGCGGGGGGGGGGATGCAGAGGGACAGAGAAGCAGACTCCCCGCTGAGATCAGAGCCCATCATGGGGCTCCATTCCAGGACCTGATCATGACCTGAGCTGAAATTAGGAGTTGGCAGCTTAACCAACTGAGCCACCAAGGTGCCCCAGATCTCTGATTTTTTTTATATTAATCTCGGGCTCCCCAGAATGAAATTGTAAGCCTCTGTGACACACACATAGGTCTGCCACGACCCCTTGCCACTTTCACTCCAGCGGCTGCAAGAGTCATGAGACACATTTTTGACGAATGAGAAATCTACTGGGTATGTCTAGAAAGGCTTCTCCCCGTCCTGATAAAAGGGGCAGAGAACTTTCGTGGCCATCTTGCAATCATAAGGGACATGCCAGAGAATCATAGAAAGGCCAGTCCACATCTCTAACACAACCACCACCTACCTGATAACTTCTTGCTGTGTAAGAGAAAACAGGTCCCTATGGTTCATGCCACTGCTAACTGGGTTTTTGTAACTTGCAGCCAAAAGCATTCCGAAGTGATGTAGAAACCCATAAGAACTTCATGGATTTACATTTGGCTGAATCATACGAAAATAGTATTTTTGTAGATCAAACGATTGACTCTCAGTAGTTTTGCCTCGTTCATTCACCCTCTATGGCTAAGAACACTCTAGGTCTGTGGATGTGTGTCAATCAGTATGCTTTTGGCAGCAAATGACTAAACTCTTAAGTCAATGCTTTAGGGAAGAGACCTGCCGGTTCCCATAAGGAAAGTGCAAAATAAGCATCCAGAGGCTGAGGAACACCTCAAGGTCTTGGGTTCCTGACCCAGGCCTTCTCCAAAACTGACTCCATTCTCAGGCTGCCCCCTTCCAGAGCACCACCAGCAGCAAGGTGGGCTTTGTGGAGAAAACAAGTTTCTGCCCAACATTCTGGACAAGAATCCTAAAATCTCCATGCCCTGGGTCACTTGGGTCACATGCTGATTCCTGAACCCACCATCCCAGAATAAAATATGTTGGCTGGTGTAAATCAATCAGCATCCAATCCTGGACCTGCGATGGGGTCAGCTTCCCTCTCAGACCCAGAAAATTCTAGGTGTCTTCTGAAAGTGGGAATGGCTGGGAGAATGGACACTAGCTAGATAACCACATGGTCCATTACAATAGGTCTCCATGAAATTAGGGACCAGGAATTGGCAGAAACAAACTGACTACACTGGAAACTGACTACCCCGAAGGGCGGTGGGGAGTGGAGGCCGGGGGCGGGGAGCAGGTAATCCCCTAAAGCAAAGTTAGGGTGTTGTTTGAAGAAAGAGGAAGGGTGTTGGACAGGTGACAGTTACAAATACCCACTACTTATTCCACAGAAGGCCCCCAAATGTATTTATGTATTTATTAACTCTATTATGACATTAGTGTTTGGAAAGAGCCTCACACGACTTTATTTTATTTTTTTAAAGATTTATTTATTTATTTATTTATTTATTTATTTATTTATTTATGATAGAGAGAGAGAGAGAGAGAGAAGCAGAGACACAGGAGGAGGGAGAAGCAGGCTCCACGCTGGAGAGTGGGGTGGAGGGAGAGAGAGAAACTCCATGCTCAGGACAGATCACATCGGGAGGCTCAATCCCATGACCCTGAGATCATGACCCGAGCCAAAGCCAGGGGTTGGGTACTTAGCCCACTGAGCCACCCAGGGGCCTCAAGAATATTTCCCTCCCTCCATTTATCCTGCTAGTATAATAGAAGAAATAATACCACACACGTTTCAGCTTACTTTTTTCAACAGTATAATCATCTGTAATCAACTAACATTTACATCTGTATCAGTTGGCTATTGCTATAATGATCTGGGTTTTTTTTTTTTTCTTCTTCTTCTTCTTCTTTTTTTTTTTTTTTTAACATTTTGACCTCCTCTTCACTCATTTCTCCCACCCCCACCACCTCTGGCACCCCCAATCTGTTCTCCATATTCATGAACCTTCCCTTGTTTTGTTTTTAGATTTCACACATAAGAAAGATCCTACGCTATTTGTTTTTCTCTGATTCATTCTACTTAGCATAATGCCCACCAGGGCCATCTAGGTTGTTATGACTCACAAGATTACATTATTTTTCATAGCAGAATAATATTCTAATATTCCAGGATATACACACACATACATATGTACACACCACATCTTTATCCGTTCATCCATTTGTAAACATTTGGTTGTTTCCATATCCTGGCTGTTGTAACTAAGGCTGCAATGACTGTGGGAATGCAGGTATCTTTTTGAATTTTGCTTCCCTTTTTGTTGGATAAATGTTCAGAAATGGAATTGCCAGATCCTATGGTAGTCCTGTCTTTAGGTTTTTGATGAGCCCTCCATACTATTTTCCATGGTGGCTGCACCAATTTGCATTCCCACCACAGCACACAGTCCCTTTTTCTCTGTATCCTGACCAAAACTTGTTGTTTCTTGTTTTTTTGATGATAGCTGTTCTAACAGGTGTGAGGCTATATCTCATTGTGGTTTTGATTCATATTTCCCTGGTGATGAATGATGTTAAGCATCTTTCATGTACTTGTTGGTGAGCTGTATGTCTTCTTTGGGAAAATTTCTATTCCAATCTTCTGCACATTTTTAAATCCGATTTTTTTTTTTTTGCCATTGAGTTGTATGTGTTCATTAGATATTTTGGATATTAGCCCCTTATCAGGTATATGATTTGCAGATATTTTTTTCCAACTACTAGATTGCCTTTTTGTTCTGTTGATGGTTTGCTTTGTAGAAGTTTTTAGTTCAGTGTAGACTCTCATTTGTTTTTAGTCTTGTTTTTGCTTTTGGTGTCAGATTTAAATATATATATATATATATATATATATATATATATATATATATATATATATATATATTGCCAAGACTTATGTCGAGGAATCTACAGCCTGAATTTTTTCTAGGTGTTCCTTGGTTTCAGGTCTTATGTTCAAGTCTTTAATCTATTCCGAGTTAATTTTTGTGCATAGTGTAAGACAGTGATCCAGTTATTTTTCTTTTTTTGCATGTGTGGCTGTCCTATTTTCCCAGCCCCGTTTGTGGAAGAGACCACCCCTTTACCCATTGTGTATTCTTGGCTCCTTTTCCAGAAATCGATTGACCATATATGTGTGGGTTTATTTCTATTCAGCTCTCTATTCAGCTCCATTTATCTACGGAGCAGTTTTTATGCTAATACCGGGCTGTTTTAATTACTACAGCTCTGGAATGTAGTTCAAAATCAGGAAACTGTGATGCTTGTGGCTTTGTCCTTTCTCAAGATTGCTTTGGCTATTTGCGTTCTCTTGTGGCTCCATACAAATGCAATATTGTTTTGTCTTGTTTTTTTTGTTTTTTTTTCTATTTCTGTACAAAATGCCTTTGGAATTTTAATAGAGATTGCATGGAATCTGTGCTTTGCTTTGGGCAAGGATAGCGTTTAAATCCCACTGAGAGCAAGGTAGTTTAACAAATGGTGCTGGCATGAGGAACTCTCCCATCTGTCCAAAACAAAAACCCTAGTTCTTACGCACAGGAGGAAAACTTCCAGAAATATGGAAATTTTAAGTGAATGAAAGAAGGCAGGCGAACATCTGACTCCAGGATGCCCCAGACTCGTCCCAGCCAGAACCCCGGAGGGCCGCCTCTGGCATTCAGCCTCCCTGATTGGGTCCCAAGGTCTACGTCGCAGGGTGTCCAGCCAATGAGGGTCGGGCATGGACAGCGCCCTCAGCCAATGGGGCCAGGGCGGGAGATTTGAAAGGGCCTCGACGGGGGCCCGGCCCGGCAGGTTCAGTCGTTTGCCCGCGGCCAGGGGGTGGCTGTGCCACGGGCTCCAGGTGAGCTGGCTCCCCTTCGCGGGTCTTGCGCTGGGAGAGGACAGGTGATCGGGCAGGTCGGGGGTCCGTTGGGCGGCCCGCGCGCACCTGCGGGGCCCCTGGGAGCTCAAGGGCAGAGGGAGGGTCCTGAAAGGGCGGGTGTGCAGGAGCAGGGGCTGGGGGCGGCGAAACGAGCGCCCGAGTGCGCCCCGATGAGCCAGCAAGGTGACCAGCTCCCTTTCAGCAGCCCCAGTCCCGCGCTTCCGCCTCGATCGGTCCAACCCCTCCCTCCCTCTCTCGCTCCCTTTTTTCCCCGCTTCTTACCGCTCTGTTTCCCTTGTCTGCCCAGCTCTCCTCCCCTCTTCCCTCTAACGATGACCCAGAAGGAGAACGCCTACCCCTGGCCCTACGGCCGGCAGACGGTAAGGGCTTCCCCACTGCCCCTTCCCCAACCCGCGTGGAGATTTGCACCCCACCTGCCTGGGGCTTTGAGGTCTGGCGGAGGGCGACCCCTCCCAGACGTCTCCGCTTTGCCCCTACGCCTGGATCCCAAGAGTTCGCCGGCAGAATCCGGTCTGGTCATTTGCAACCACATCCTGGCAGGCGCTGCTGCCAACCGGAATCTGATCAGCCTCTCAGGACTTTTGCGGGGCTGGAGCCTACTTGTCATATATACAAACGATATCTGGGACTGGAGCAAGCGGGTTTGCCCTTGGGCCGTGATTCCCAACCCTTGTCCTGAACAAATAGGCTACACAAGCAGTAGAGATAAACCCTGAACGGATTTTTACTATAGGTTTAAAAGATGCAGGACATGTTAAATTAATCATTTGGAATTTGTTTGAGTGAGTGGTGTGAGATCCGGATCCAAAACGGTTTATTTTCCGGTGGTCCTGAGACCTTTTAGTGGACCGTCTACCCCCTCATTTGAAATGAGGCCTTTATCATATAAAAGCCCCATCTATATGTGGGTCTTTTTCTGGACTCTCATTTTGTTCAACTTGCTTATTTGTTAAGTTCTGTACTGATATCGCTGCTCAGGAATGGGTTTTTAGGGCACGAGGCTTTCTTCTTTTGGCCAAGAAAAAGGAAGGTGCTCTCACAGGCTTTGCTCCCTGTTTGTGGGGCTGGGACATCCATCTGTCCCCTCGTCCACCAGCTCCTGCCCTCACGGAGCACTTAGTGAGGCTGGCAAGAAAGAGGCTGAAAGAGAAACCATTGTCACTTCTACAGTGGTCACTCCCACAAGAAAGTTGTGTATATTATTTTGAGAAAATGCAAGAGAGAAGTGGTCCCAAGCCACCAGAGTAGCCCCCAGTGTCTGCAAAGTCTGTTGTTGTAAAGGGGTAAATATTGGAATCTATTGTAACATTCAAGACCTCAAGGACCTTATCTAAACCTTAATAGACTGAGGTTTTAATTTATTTAATTATTTTTTTAAGATTTTATTTTTAAGTAATCTCCACACCCAACACAGGCCTCAAACTCATAAGCCTGAGATCATGAGTTGCGTGCTTTACTGACTGAGCCAGCCAGGTGCCCCTAGACAGTTTTTTAGGGGGCTGTGAGAATGTCTCTGCTAACACCCCTGGAATTGTGGGTGGTTTTTTTTTTTGTTGGTTTTTTTTGTTGTTGGTTTTTACCTGGCCCTCACCTCCCCAGTGGAGGCGAGGTGAATGAGTGTGGGGTTCTGGATGGAACCTTAGAGGCTGGACAGTTTCATGCCTGAAAATGTGATGTGGGCCAGCCCAGGGAGGTGAAATGTTTGGTGTTGGGGTGAATATTTTGCTCCTTACTTTAGGCCAACCTAGGTTACTTACTAAGAACCCATTTTAATACAGAGGGAGAAGCAGAGGGGCCTTGGGCTGAATAGCAAAACTATGGTCTCAAGTGTTCCTCTGTGAACAGGGGACGTGTGGGTGGCTGGCTGGGTGGCCCTACCACAAGTACTGAAATGCTGCTTGCAGCACATTCCAGCTGGGTGCCCAGGACAAAGGCATCCTCAGAGCTCCCCACTGCTCCTTCTCAGACTCAGCCTGGCCTGAACACCCTGCCCCAGAGAGTCCTCCGGAAGGACCCCGCCACCCCGTCTGCACTTGTCCTCATGAGCCGCTCCAATGGCCAGCCCACAGGTAACTGGGATGCGGTACAGGATTGAGGGGAGGCAACTAGAGTCTCCAGGGAGGGTGCAGGGCTGAAAATGTCAAAGGCAGGGCCTCAACTCACCTATTGCTTCCTTAGCTGCCCCTGGGCAGAAGGTGGTGGAGAACAGCAGTGGGATACCCAACTTCTCAATGTGAGTACCCAAGCCTTGCTTGGGGTGGCACAAGAGAAGGTGGGACATGAGAGAGGTGGCCACCCAGGGGAGGAGCACGGATGCAGGGATGTGAGAAAGCCTAATTCCATCCTTAACTCATCCTCAACTCCCTGGGGAAAAGGGGCAGGACTGAGCAGGGGCAGGCGGGCTGGGGGACAGGGGAGAATGTGGCCAGCTCGGGGGACCCACCAGCCGCCACTTGGCCACCTTCCCCCCCACCTCCAATCAGGCTGTCCTTCACCATCGACGACTTTGAGATTGGGCGTCCTCTGGGCAAAGGCAAGTTTGGAAATGTGTACTTGGCTCGGGAGAAGAAAAGCCATTTCATCGTGGCTCTCAAGGTCCTCTTCAAGTCTCAGATAGAAAAGGAGGGCGTGGAGCACCAGCTGCGCAGGGAGATTGAAATCCAGGCCCATCTGCAGTATGAGTCCTACCCTGCCACCGGCCCCAGGCCCTTTGCTCCTCCCCCAGCTCCTCTTTCACCCAACCTGCCCCATCCAGACTGCTCTGTACCTGTTCCAGAGCCCCTCTGAGCTCCCACTAAGCTCCCAGCCCCAGCCAGAGTCTTGAATCCAGAGAGCCACCTCTGGCTCCCCTTCACCACCACCAGCCCCACTGTCCCCGGTCTGGTCCAGATGTGACCCCAGTGTGTCCCCCCTGCCACTGTCATCCTTCCCATTTCCTTAGGCCAGGATGCCGCCTGAGTCCCCGTCCCTGTCTCCCGCAGGCATCCCAACATCCTGCGTCTCTACAACTATTTCTATGACCGGAGAAGGATCTACTTGATTCTGGAGTATGCCCCCCGAGGGGAGCTCTACAAGGAGCTGCAGAAGAGCCACACTTTCGACGAGCAGCGAACAGCCACGGTCGGGGAGGGTGGGCACTTGGGGCCTCCAAGGGGGCCGAGCCTGGGGGTCCACTGCGTGGAGCTGTGGGGCGGGCAGCCTTGGCTGACCTGCTGTCATTCGTTGGCCCCCCCAGATCATGGAGGAGCTGGCAGATGCTCTGATGTACTGCCACGGGAAAAAGGTGATTCACAGAGACATAAAGCCAGAGAATCTGCTCTTGGGGCTCCAGGGAGAGCTGAAGATCGCTGACTTTGGCTGGTCCGTGCATGCCCCCTCCCTAAGGTACGGTGTGAATGGTGGGGGGACGTTCAGAATAATACCACTCCAGACCTTGTTACCCAGACATGTGTGGGCTCATCCACGCGTACCTATAGACGTTGACACTCGACTTACAAAAATAGGAGCCTCACAATTCTGCTGCCCAGATTTCCTACCTGGTATATTGGGGGACCCACTCACCATGTCGCCCAGCTCATTTGTAATGACCTTGTAGCAGTATTGTAGCTAGACGTGTAACCTGGTCCATTTCTGCAGGACATGCCTGATGTACCTTGAGGCATCCCCACCCAGTTTTCCCGTTAATTCTAAGATGAGCATTGCCCGTAGATCTGATTATTTTAAGACACGTCCCTCCCCATGGAAATGCCGAGAGGGTGCGTAATGCTACCCCTGGGGCTCCAGGTTATATCTTCACCCTACTCCTGCCCAAGGGCCCTGCCAGAGTTTGGTCAAAACACTCCCCTGGCACATCCTGGGGTCGTCCAGCTCCCTGTTGGGTAGCTGGGGAAAGAGGGAGGTGGTCTTCATCCAGGTCCCCCACCCTCCCACCCAGGAGGAAGACGATGTGCGGTACCTTGGACTACCTGCCTCCAGAAATGATTGAAGGGCGCATGCACAACGAGAAGGTGGACCTGTGGTGCATCGGGGTGCTCTGCTATGAGCTGCTGGTGGGCAACCCGCCCTTCGAGAGCGCTTCTCACAATGAGACCTATCGGCGCATCGTCAAGGTGGGAGGGTGCCCTGGTGCCCGGCTGGGGCTTTGTGCCCACTTAGGGGGGCCAGGGGCTGGCAGGTGCAGGGGTCCTGTGTAATTTCTCCAAATGGAATGAGGGTGGTCAAGGAGGAAGCAACTGGGATCAAGCTAAGGGGACCCTCCTTCCTCTCCTTCTGCAGGTGGACCTGAAATTCCCCCCTTCTGTACCCATGGGAGCCCAGGACCTCATCTCCAAGCTACTCAAGCACAACCCTTCAGAACGGCTGCCCCTGTCCCAGGTCTCGGCCCACCCTTGGGTCCGGGCCCACTCTCGGAGGATGCTGCCTCCCTCTGCTGTCCAGGCCATCCCCTGACTTGTCCCTGTGACTTATTCGGTTGTGTCTGTCTGTTTGCCTCTATATGTGTAGTTGGAAGAAGGGGTGCCTGGCCTGTTTTTACCTGTCTTCTACCTCCTTTTTATTTAATAAAGGCTGAAACTTTTTATACGGATGAGTTTAGATGCTTACAGGTGGAGACTGCTGGGGGTGGGGGGTGCTTCCCCAGAGGGAGAGGATGGGGCCTGGCGGGCACTGCACCACCTACCCTCGTTCTCAGCACCTCCCCATGTTGCTTCTCCCCCTGCTCTGACTCCCAGGGCCTGGCTGCTGGGGCCTGGGCTCCCCTCTGCTGCTCCTGGACTCCCACTGCCTCATGTGCTGCATCTAGTCTTTCCTTCTGGTTCAGTCTCTGCCAACTGAACATAGCTGCACCCTAGAAGCCGTGTTTATTTTCCTGCTCCGCTCAGGATCTAGTACAGGGCACAAAGAAGTTACATAGTCCCTAAAATCACACACCCAGACAGTGGCAGAGCCCAGTTTTAAAGTCCATATCTGGGGGCACCTGGGTGGCTCAGTGACCAAGCAGCTGCCTTCAGCTCCAGGCGTGATTCCGGGGTCCTGGGATCCAGTCCCGTATCAGGCTCCCCGCAGGGACCCTGCTTCTCCCTCTGCCTATGTCTCTGCCTCTCTCTCTGTGTCTCTCATGAATAAATAAATAAAACCTTTAAAAAGCAAAAAAAGAATTTCCTTTTTACATCCCTGGTTTCTCTCCCTTCTTTCTGCCGATCCCATCCTTCCTATGGCCCACGAAGTCCACGGTGTCCCAGCCGCACCTTCCTTATCCACTTCTCTCATGCTAATTCAAGCCACCATCCTCTGGCTTGGGTCGTGGCAACAGCCTCCTAACTGTTCTTCCTGCTTCTATTCCTGGCCCATTCTCCACATGAGAAGTTCGGGTACTTTAGGAATAAAATCCAAACTCATTCCATGGCAAGGTCTGATTTTCAATCCTGGTTACACTCCCCAGAATCACCTGGAGGGTTTACGAAGGAAATAGAACTCTCAGACCTCAGTCTGAGAAATGCAGATATAATTTGCCTAGGTTGAGACCCAGACATCCATCTGTTTTAAAACTGAGTCTGGGGTGCCTGGGTGGCTCAGGAAGTTAAAGGGTCTACCTTTGGCTCAGGTCATGATCCCAGGATTCTGAGATTGAGTTGGGGTCGCTGCTCAGCAGAGAGCCTGCTTCTCCTCCCTCTGCTGCTCTCCGCTCCTTGTACTCTCTCACATACTGTCAAATAAATAAAATGTAAAAATAAAACTGAGTTAAAAATCCCTGCCTAGGGGATCCCTGGGTAGCACAGCGGTTTAGCGCCTGCCTTTGGCTCAGGGTGTGATCCTGGAGTCCTGGGATTGAGTCCCGCATCAGGCTCCCTGCATGGAGCCTTCTTTTCCCTCTGCCTGTGTCTCTGCCTCTGTGTGTGTGTGTCTATCATGAATGAATGAATAAATAGGGAATCCCTGGGTGGTTTAGCGCCTGCCTTTGGCCCAGGGCATGATCCCAGAGTCCCAGGATCAAGTCCCACATCGGGTCTCTGCCTCTCTCTGTGTGTGTCTTTCATGAATAAATAAATAAAATCTTTTTTAAAAATGAATAAATAAATAATCTTTTAAAAAAAAATCCCTGCCTGACTTGGGGCTCATCTCCCAACTGTTCTTCCCCTTCGATCACTAAAGCGCTGGGCTCCTTGCTGTTCCTTGAATATTGCCAAATTTGTTTCCACCTCCAGGCCTTGGCACTGGCTCTTCTCTCTGTCTAGAGTGGCACCCACAGCCTACGTTAAGCAATGGGAAGAATCAAGAGATCTGTGTCATGACATTTTGTCAGTGACAAAGGCAAAGAGGCATCATCTCCTTACTCATAAAAATTCCACATATTCTAGCAAGAGCCACCCCCTTAATTAGATAATGTGACAATATGACAATTCCATATCCCACATAAACCCTACATTCCACCCCACATCCCACACAGCCAACATCCTACTTGACCAACCCTACAAAGAACACAAGGGCTCGTGTCCTGGGCATGGGGGAAAACTGTCCTTGTTGAAATTCTTTTAAGTAAAGATACTATGCTGGGTCCAGCTGACTGGAACATTTGTTCACTTTGGGTGCTTAATGATTACCTTATCTTTCCACTGATGGGACGATGGCAGGAAAGAAACAGAAAGCCACCATTCTTCTTCCTGGGGTGGGGGTGGGGGCTCTAGTTGTATACTCCTGGTAGGTTGGCCAATATTTTGTTCTTCTTTTCTTTTAAAGTTTTATTTATTTATTCATGAGAGACACACAGAGAAAGGCCGAGACACAGGCAGAGGGAGAACCAGGCTCCCTGTGGGGAGCCAGTTGCGATACTCTATCCTAGGACCTTGGGGTCACAGGACTCCAGGATCACGACCTGAGCCAAAGGCAGACACTCAACCACTGAACCACTCAGGTGCCCCAATAATTTGCTCTTCAATGCCTGTCTAGATTTCCGTGGGTGGTGTAGATGCTGGCAAGACTGGCGAGTGGTGGTTGGCTCCCCTCATTGTAGCCTGATAGGCAGCGGGCAGATCTGCGGAAGAAGAAGCTTTAGTTGCTGGCTAGCACCCCTGAGTTCTACTCCTTTCTCCACTGTTCTACAGCCATGTGACATCGGCCAAGTGGTTTAACCTTTATGAGCCTGTAAGATGGAAATAACAATCCTACCCTGCCTATAACATAGTCTGTTTTCAAGTGCAGTCATGTGTGTGTTATAAATAGCATTTAAAAATCTAGCCTCCATTAGAAGGAAAGCACAGGAAAACATCCACAAAATGAAAAGGCAACTTACTGAATGGGAGAAAATATTGGCAAGTCATATTTGATATCTGATAAGGATATCCAAAATATTTAACTCAGGAGAAAAAATATGTATATGATTTTAAATGGGCAGAAAATCTGAACAAGTATTTTTCCAAATAAGATATACAAACGGGGCACCTGGGTGGCTCAGTCAGTTAAGTGTCTACCTTTGGCTCAGGTCATGATCCCGGAGTCTTGAGATGGAACCCCACATTGGGCTCCCTGTTCAGCAGGGAGCCTACTTCTCTCTCTGACTGCTGCTCTCCCTGCTTGTGCTCTCACTCACTCGCTCTCTCTGTCAAATAAATAAATTGTCTGTGTCTGTTAAACACACACACACACAAATGGTCAAGAAGTACATGAAGAGTATGCTCAGCGGCAGCACTGATCTTCAGGGAAATGCAAATCAAAACCACAAGGAGATCACCTCACACCTGTTAAAATGGCTGTTATCAAAAAGACAAGAAGTAGGGGCACCTGTCTGGCTCAGTGGGTGGAGGATACAACTTTTGATCTTGGGGTTGCAGGTTGAAGCCCCTTGTACAGTTTATTTGAAAATAAAATCTAAAAGAGAGAGAGAGAGACAAGAAATACAAAGTGTTGGTGAGGATGTGGAGAAAAAGAAGCCCTGGTGTACTGTTGGTAGGAATGTAAATTTGTGTAGCCAGTGTGAAAAGTAGTATGGAGAGTCCCCAAAAATGTAAAGATAAAACTACCATAGGATCCGGTGATTCCAAAGAAAACAAAATACTAACTTGAAAATATACATGCATCCTGTGTTCATTGCAGCATTATTTACAACAGCCAAAATGTGAAAGCAATCGAGTGTCTATCAATGGATGAACAAATAAAGAAGATATGATACACACACACACACACACACACACACACATACACACACACAGTGGAGTATTATCTGGCCATTAAAAAGAATGAAATCTTGCTTTTTGCAACAACATGGATGGACCTGGAGGGCATTGTGCTAAGTTAAGTCAGGCAGAGAAAGGCAAATACCATATCTGGAACCTAAAAACAAGGAAGCAAACAATAAATCAACAAGAAAACCCAAAAAGCCCAGAGATACAAAGAACAGACAGGGACAGGGAGTAGGGGGTGGGAGAAATTGGTGAAGAGGGTCAAAAGATTAAAAAAAATGTATTTATGTTTATAAATATGCTATTATAAATGAATATTTATAAATAAGTATAAATATATAGTCTTATTCTAGAAAGGGTTTTAAGTAGTTTACAAGATATGTGAAACAGAAAATAATAGAAAAGTGGAGACACACTCCCCGAAGAACATATACAGATGGCAAATAAGCATGTGAAAGGATATTCAACCTCATTAGTTATTAGGGAACACAAATTAAAACCATTCTGAGAACAATGGCTAAAAGACGGAAGACAGGACCTAAAGAGTTTTCAGGTTTTCCAAAGGAACGGAAAATGGAATTCCCAACCAGGAGACAAATTCCCACACATGATCTGTAATTCCAAAGAAGTAGCTTTCTAAATTTGGAATAGATTGAAAATACAGAGGGTGGAGAAGCCCCCTGGAGAAATTCATGTTCTCCCAGGGACCCTATACCTACTGAGTTTTGCAGCCTTATAAACCTTTTTTGGTCTGGTCTTTGGCAAGATTCTTTCTTACTGAATTTATTTATTTATTTATTTATTTATTCATTCATTCATTCATTCATTCATTCATTCATGAGAGGCACACAGAGAGAGGCAGAGACACCAGCAGAGGGAGAAGCAGGCTCCCTGTGGGGAGCCCGATGTGGGACTCAGTCCCAGGTCTCCAGGATCAGGCCCTGGGCTGAAGGCGGCGCTAAACTGCTGAGCCATCCGGGCTGCCCCCCAGGTGCCCCTCTTACTGAATTTATATATTGTGCTCCTCAGCTGATCATGGGATTGAATGAGTCTAATAGTGGGAAGAGCCCAGCTAGTTTCACACACTGTCTCCTTGTGATGTGACTTGGACATGATGGGGGTGGTATTGATCTCACTGACTAATCTACTGATTTCTAATGCCACATGAAGCTGGTTCCTGAGATGGCTGGATGTGCGGCAGTCCTTCTGTGCCCATGGGGACAGCTGAGGTCAGGAAGATGGGTAGCAACCTGTTTCAAAGCGCAGGGTGAGAAATTTTCTCCAGGCTACCTAGGTGGGGAACTGGCCAGTTGGGACTATCAGTGGACACTCTGAAAGATGTTCCACCACCAAAGCAGCAGCCAATGGTATATATCTGTGGAGAATGTCACATGGTAAAATGGAATA